TCTCCTCATGTTCCTGCATATATTTTAGGCTATGGCTGGTATCCAGAGCTGTCTCTTCAATATGATTGTTCACATTTATCTCTGGAATCTGTCTTAATTTTGGTGTGTTCATTGCAGTTCTTGCCACAAATTCACTATGCTAATTTACGTCAGTGTCGTGTACCATGAAAGACTGAGGAAGCAAAGTAGTAAAAAGTCTATGAGTGAGGTGACATACTGAAAAAATTGGGCTGTGGATCTTGATCATTTCTGGTTGATTTCTTATTAAAGTCTCAGCTAACTAGTTTAGTCACTGAGTATGGTTGAACTGGGGATGAGACGGAGCTCTTCACTGGAAGTACTCCTAATCTCTGGAGGTTGCCTATGATTATAAATGTTGTTTCAAAGCTTACTTTTGCATTCCAGTATGAAAGCCTGAAGTTTTAACTGGCTTTTAAACCTCACTTGAATGTCTTTAGATGTTTACATGCAGGGAGAGGGGCATCTCTAGTGAACTGGAGAACACATCTGTCAGGCAAGATCTCATGCTTCTTATTTGGTGGCAGTGATTTTGCTGACTCCTGAGTGCCCAGCTTTTTGTTACATCTACATTTCCTGCTGAGACTAAATAGTGTCTGGTAGCTAAGTACTTTTCTACTGCCTTCTGGATTAGAATAACTGAGCACTGTTATCTCTGGCACAAAACTTGGTTATTTTAGTACACTGTTCTGCTTCTGTCACTCAAAGGAGAAAAATACTTTTAAATGAGGGATTGTGATTTCTCTAACTGGAAGACTTGCAACTGTGGAGTATCGTGCTGGTGCCTGGTGTGAGTCCCAGGATCCTTTGTGGATGTGTATCTTATGGTTGCATGAGTTTAGCTTTCTCAAAGAACAATTTGCTAAGTGAGAATTTAGCATTCAGTCATAGAATCAGCTAGGTTGAAAAAGACCTTTAAGATCATCAAGTCCAGCTGTTAGCACTGCCAAGTTCACCACTGAACCATGTCACTAAGGTCTCATCTAGGAGGTTTTTGAACACTTCCAGGGACAGCGATTCCACCACTTCTCTGGGAAGCTCATTCCAATGCCTAACCCACCCTTTTGGTGAAGAAGTTTTTCCTACTATCCAGTCTAAACCTCTACTGGCACAGCTTGAGGCCATTACCACTTGTCCTATCACTTCAAGTGACTTAAGTAGTCCTCTGTGATTTTCTAGGGCATTCTAGGTGGTTTTCTTTGGGGATGCTGAACTCAGTGTTATGACTGATTCTTAGCTTTTCTGAAGGATTAAAAGGAGGTATTGCGAAGTAGGTGGTAAATATGGTTTTTGCCTCAGATTCAGTTCTCGGGGCGGGGAGGGGGGGGATGGTTAGGGAGATGGTGGTGTGGGGAGCTAAGGGAATGGAGGGAAAGAAGTTGGGGAATCTTGAAGAGACTGGGGGGGGTGTAGCATGGCAGCTGGGATCCAGGCATGTTCTGTGGATAGAGGCTGACAGTTACCCTTGGCACAAGGTGAAGGGTGTCTTTGTATTTTTGTTTCCCTTTCATGCGGAAGCTGTAGTAACAGTCATGCCATTAGAAAGCCCGTCTCATCAGAAGAGGAGGTGGAGATTCTTCAGTTGCTAGTGGCAGTCCAGTGGGGTGGATATTTCTGGAGCTATGGGCTTTTTTCAGCTGTAATCTGACATCTGCAATGAAAGACTCCTTTATGTGGATGCAGTATGGAAGTCGCAGTTGTTGGAAGCCAAGGATTTCAACAGAGGATGGTTGTGCAGGATGTAAAATACACAGAGTAGTAGGTGTACATAGAGAGCAGATCCTCCAATGGCTAGTTGAGTAAGTAGTTCAGACTGTGGCCTGGAGGTGAGGAATAGCAGGTACTGTTTAAAACCTTGCTTGAGAAATAGATTATAAACTCTGCTTCTCTGCTTTTATTCTCATAGCTCAGTTTGCTTGTATGTTGGGATGATGATCTAACTGTAGAGTTTTAATTACCTGGATAAACTGGGGAGGGGGACGGGACTGTATTCAAACAGTCTACATCTGTTTTGCTGTAGCAAACTGGCTTGACAGTGTGATGAATTGAAGGAACGTGTAGGATTTGCTGAAAATGTTTGATTTTGAGTTTCATCCTTCTTTGGTTTGCTAGATGTCAGTCAAGCATTACAGGAGCAAATCTTTATTGATACAGCTATTTTCTGACATGCTTCATAGGGAATAGCATGGTTGTGCAGATAAGCAATCAATTTTCTGGTGCTTTTGTCCCCAGGACCTTTTCCCCAGAGATTCTCTAAGCTACTGAAAACTGGTGACCTGCCTACCCAAGGGCTTTCCTTGTCAGCGCTGCTGTTGTAGCTTCAGTTGGCAAAAGTTTATTCTAGCAAACTGCATATCAGTGAAAACCACAGCTCCCCAGGGATGTGCCAGTCCTGATTAAACTTTCAGGAAAAGCTTCAGGAGAGGTGCCAGCATAGAGTTCATGCTCCAAGAGACAGATCAGTTACCTGGGCCTTCTGGGGAAATCATTTCCCTCTCTTGAGATGCTTGTAGAGGATTCAGGTTTGGATCCTGCCACTGAAAGCTTGGTTCAGTGGAGGCCTTAAAGATCGTGCTTTGCTGTAAGACTCAGAAAAATATATTTGCAAATAAAGGCTCAGGACCTTTTCAGAAGGTCCAGAAAAGCTGGTGTGTTAGACTCCACTTTGCATGAAAAGGCATGTTTTGTACAGCTCTTCACTAGGCACTTGCTTATTTTATTAAATAAAACCCTTGTGATGGAGTTGTGTTCTGTCCCAGTGTGGACTAGAAACCTCTGAACTGCTTTAACACATCCACAGTGCCATGGATTCTTGCATTTCAAAGCAATGCTGGGATCTTGGTGGTTGTTCCAGTGCTTTCAGTACTTTGCTGAAGTAGTTGTCACAACATGAACAAAAGTTAACTTGCTTTTGTCATGATTTCCTCTATTCTTAAGTATGCTCTTTGGGAGCTTATTCTAGAATAGTACAGGGTTTGCTTCCTACCAGTACTGTGGAAGGATTTGAGTTCTTTAGCCCTTCCCAATCTACCCTTTATCATGCTGTTAGTGAATTACTGGATGCTGATAAGGAGTCAGTTGTGTTTTATTCTGGTAGCATTAAAATTGATTGAAGAAGCATCTACTCTCCTTTCTCCTTATTGGAAGATGATGTGCTGAGATTGCTGTAAAGCTGTGTATTTCTGGGGACACAGGCACAGACTCTTCTCTGTTAATTTTATATAGCACATCTGTGTTTTCCAGGAAACTGGTAGGATTAAATATGCCTTATATAGCCTTTTGGTTTTAGTGCTTGGGCGACTTCAAAAATCTTGATTTGTTTTTTATTTTCTCCAAAGCTAGCCTTCCACTAGACCAGGTCGCTCAGAGCCACATCTAACCTCATCTTGATCACTTACTTCCAGGAGTGTCCTTGGAGATTATATTCTATTTTATGTTTGTATATATAGATATATGTATTCACATAAAAAGTATAAATAATTACAATTGCCATCATTGGATATTATAATTTCACGTATTTTAATGTGGTCTGAGCTCTGTCTGGTAATAAACTGCTTTTAAAGCATGGAAAAACCATCACACTGTTTGCTTATGGATTTATCCTGCTTTTTATTTAACCATTCTGTTACCAGTTACAGTTCCATGAATTGCTTATGGACTAGTGGATGCTCATGGATAGTTGATGAGAAAATGGTCATGAGCCAGCAGTGTGTGCTTGCAGCCCAGAAAGCCAACCATATCCTGGGCTGCATCAAAAGGAGTGTGACCAGCAGGTCAAAAGAGGTGATCCTGCCCCTCTACTCTCTCTTGTGAGACCTCACTTGGAGTATTGTGTGCAGTTCTGGTGTCATCAACATAAAAAGGACATGGAACAAGTCCAGAGGAGGGCCATGAGGATGATCAGGGGGCTGGAGCACCTCCTATATAAAGACAAGCTGGGAAAGTTGGGGCTGCTCAGGCTGGAGAAGAGAAGGCTGCGTGGAGACCTCATAGCAGCCTTCCAGTATCTGAAGGGGGCCTATAGGGATGCTGGGGAGGGACTTTTCGTTAGGAACTATAGTGATAGAACAGGGGGTAATGGGTTAAAACTTAAACAGGGGAAGTTTAGATTGGATATAAGGAAGAAGTTCTTTACTTTAAGGATGGTGAGACACTGGAATGGGTTGCCCATGGAGGCTGTGAATGCTCCATCCCTGGCAGTGTTCAGGGCCAGGTTGGACAGAGCCTTGGGTGACATGGTTTAGTGTGAGGGGTCCCTGCCCATGGCAGGGGGATTGGAACTTGATGATCTTAAGGTCCTTTCCAACCCTAACTATTCTATGGTTCTATGATTAGACTTAGAGTCTTAGTCTACAAACAGGGCTGCTGAAGATCTTTGCGGGGTCCTTTGCTCTGCCAGAGCCGTATTTCCAGCTTGAGGATAAACAACTCCAGTTTTTGTTGTCACAAATCCTGCAGCATTGGAGTTCAGAAGAGTCATTGGTGAAAGAAGGAAATAAACCAGCCTATCACCTGCTGGAGATAGAAAATAAATCACTTGAGATGAAACAGAGGCTATTCAGAGTCCTGTGGTGCTGATGGTAAAACACATTTCTATCCCTTTATGTAAATCTTTCTTGAGGGAGTGAGGTGGAATTTAGGGCTACGGGAGGTATGGTATGCCCTTCCCAATCTCTCTCGTATGTGTATTTTTTCGGAGAGGGTACAGTAATTCCCAGAGTGATTTGCTCTGGTGTTCTTGGACTGGGAAAACTTACTGTGGCTGTAAGTTTGGGGTTTGAGATGGAGAGGTGGAAATTTGATCACAGCAGGGAAAAGCACGCAGTATTTTAAGGAGACCAGTCATTTCTTTGTTTTTGCTTTGCAGTCCTCCATGCTGAACTATAACAAGCGTTTCGTTCAGGGTAAGCCTTGCAGGCATCTCTGTAGCCTTAGCACCCATTTCATTTTCCTAACCCTCTGTTTTCTTTTCCCTTGCACAGGGCTTATGCAGAAGACTCGTCCTCTGTAAAACACGATCCAAGGACAGAGCCGAGAGAGAAGATGAAGCACGAGGAGGAGAGCAGTGACAGTGAGGATAGAAAGGCTGTTGCCTCAGGTGATGAGGATGCTCAGCCAGAAGGGAAGAAGAAGAAGCGTTCTGGCTTCAGGGACCGTAAGGTACCAAACTTGGGCATATTTCACCTGCATCTTATGCACTGCAGTGGAAAAAGGGAGAAAAGCTGCAGAACATATTATTCAGGTTGTGGTATGTTGTGGCATGTAAAGAGTCTGGCTTTAGCTCTGTACTTGTCTTTATTTTCTAAGAAATGTCAGCGTTTTGAAAATCTCCTTTCCTGGCATGATACCTTGAGTTTCTTCAGGTTGAAGCTCATTTATTTGGAAAACACAGTACACTGATTCTCTGAAATGGAGACCTCTTTTCCCATCTCCAGTTGGATGTTTGAGAAGTGGCTTGTTAAGAAATCAAGGCTCCTGCTTTGATGGCTGTTAGGATGGCATATGCAAAGTAGGGAATTGGTGCAAAAGCATCCATCATGTGTGTCTTTGAGTCCATCTGTTGGTCTGTTTTTGCCTGTGAACGTACAGTGTATGCAGGAAGCAGAGGGTGAGTGTGGAAGGGAGGTTATGGGAAAGGGGTACTTGATTTTTTTCCTTTAATTATTCCATGTAAACGTAGTTCTTGAAATACAGCCTCACTCTCTATTCACAGTTAGTTGTCTCTCCCTTGATGCTCATGCCTATTTGATTTTCATATCAGACATGTTTTCAAGAGGAAGAAAGCTTGAGTAATGAGCTATATTGTCAGTTTGTGACCTGCCTTCACTGTTGGACAATCCTGAGAGCTTAGGGGTCCTCAGAACTGTCTTACAACTAGTTTGGTACAATCTGTAACCACTGTTATTATAAGATGTGTTACTTGGTCTGATGGAGAGTCCTGTAACTGAGAGTTGGCAGACAGCAGTGTTTTATTTTTTAAACCTGTCTGGATGTTGTTTTTACTGGGCTATATTTGTTGATTAGTATCTTTGCAGTGCCAAAGAGGAGAGTGGGAGTATATGCTCTTCAATATTCCTTTCTGTGTGATTTGCTTCTGATAATTATTATCTACTGTGGTGACCTGCTGGTGGCAGCTCAGTGAAATTATTTTGTAAGATTCTATGCTGAAATATGAAGAATGGTTGTCGTGGTTTAAACCCAGTCAGGTAATTCGTTCGCTCACTTCCCCCCCTCCTTTCTTGCCCTCCCCCTGCTCTCGGAGGGACGGAGAGGAGAATCAAAAGAATGCAACTCCCACGGGTTGAGATAAGAACAGTTTAGTAACTAAGGTATAACACAAATCACTACTGCTACCACCAATGATAATAATGATAAAGGAAATAACAAGGGAACAGAATACAACACCTCACCACCCGCTGACCGATAACTCGCCCCCCAAGCCCGACCAAGCTCCGACCGATACCTCCTCCAACCCTGCAGTCTCCCAGCCCTTCCGGCTAACTCCCAGTTCCATCCTGGGCATGACGTGCTGTGGTATGGAATACCTCTTTGGCTAGCTTGGGTCAGGTGTCCTGTCTCTGCTTCCTCCCAGCTTCCCCTCCTCCCTGGCAGAGCATGAGGCTCACAAAGTCCTTGGCCAAACCAAAACATCTCTATCAGCTCTGTTCCCGAGCCGAAAGTCAAAACACTGCACTGCACCAGCTACCAAGGAGGAGAAACATGACTGCTACTGCTGAACCCAGGACAATGGTCCTGGAGTATGGGTTCTTTGCTTCTGCTGATTTTCTTGGCACCTGGATGTTCGATACACTGACAGCTTCAGCAAGACTTCAACTCTTGCCAGTGCTACTCAAGAAAAAAAGGTTAATTTAACCGGTGTCAGCAGATGAAGGCAGGTTACAAAGAGTGAGGAAGTGATTCACTTTCATCCACACTGTTATGTAAAAATACCCCGAAACAACAAAACCAAATACAAACCTATTTGTTGATACAGCAAGTGTAATGACTAATTTTAACGTGGTTGGTTGCTTCTGGCTAGGAAAACCAGAGAATATTTGTGTGCAGGTGGAGATTTTTATTCCAGTTGTTAGGAGACATGGCTACATTGACCAGCTTTTCTGTTCCCATACTAGGCAGGGAGGAAAATGGCCACACTTTCCAAGTAACACCTGAGCCAGGCATGGAGGGTGACCCTGAGATCCAGTGGGAACGACGTGCAGCCTAGATCCCTTCTCTGTCCACAGCCTGCCTTCCTCCTACAGTTCTCAACTTGGGAGCAACAATTTCAGCAGGGAGAGCACAGTTTAAAACAAACCTCACAATCTTTTTGCCAACGTAAGTCCTCTTCTTTCAGCCTTAAGATGAAATGGGCCTGCTTAGTAAGGTTCCATGGGATATTGGCCCTAGAGGGTAGGGGTGCCCAAGACTGTTGGCTGATATTCAGGGATCACCTGCTAGAAGCTCAGGAGTGTTGCATCCCAACTAGAAGGAAGTGCAGCAGGAGGGCCAGGAGACCTCCTTGGATGGATAAGGAGCCCCTGAGGAAAATTCGAAGGAAAAAAGAGACTTATAAAAAGTGGAAGCAAGGACAGGTTGCCTGAGAAGAGTACAGGGATGTCTGGGAAGCTAGGGACCAGGTTAGGAAAGCTAAGGCCCAGTTAGAATTAAACTTGGCTAGGGATATTAAGGATAACAGGAAGAGATTCTACAGGTACATAGCAAATAAAAAATGGACTACGGAGAGCGTAGGCCCCCTCAGGAAGCTCTTGGGAGAACTGGCTACACAGGATTTGGAGAAGGTTGAGGTTCTCAATGACTTCTTTGCCTCAGTCTTCACTGGCAAAGGCTCTGACCACATCACCCAAGTCTTGGAAGGCAGATGCAGGGACTGTGAGAATGAAGACCTTTGGCCCACTGTGGGAGAGGAACTGGTTCGAGACCATCTTAAAAATCTGAATGTGCACAAGTGCATGGGTCCTGATGAAATCCATCCGTGGGTCCTGAAGGAGCTGGCAAATGAAGTTGCGAAGCCACTGGCCATCGTATTTGAGAAATCATGGCAGTCAGGTGAAGTTCCCGATGACTGGAAAAAGGGAAATATAACCCCCATTTTCAAGAAGGGGAAAATGGATGAGCCAGGGAATTACAGACCAGTCAGTCTCACCTCCATGCCTGGCAAAATCTTGGAGCAGATTCTCCTGGAAGGCATGCTAAGGCACATGAAAATCAACAAGGTGCTTGGTGACAGCCAGCATGGCTTCACTAAGGGGAAATCCTGCCTGACCAATTTGGTGGCCTTCTGTGATGGGGCTACAGAACAGATGGACAGGGGTAGAGCAGTTGATGTCATCTACCTGGACTTGTGCAAAGCGTTTGACACTGTCCCACACGACAGCCTTGTCTCTGAATTGGAGAGACATCAATTTGATGGATGGACCACTCGGTGGATAAAGAACTGGCTGGATGGCCGCACACAAAGAGTTGTGGTCAATGGCTCAATGTCCGGCTGGAGACCAGTAACGAGTGGTGTCCCTCAGGGATCGGTGTTGGGACCGGTCTTGTTCAACATCTTTGTCACTGACATGGACAGTGGGATTGAGTGCGCCCTCAGCAAGTTTGCCGATGACACCAAGCTGTGTAGTTCGGTTAATACCCTGGAGGGAAGGAATGCCATCCAGAGGGACCTTGACACGCTTGTGAGGTGGGCTGATGCCAACCTCATGAGGTTTAACCATGCCAAGTGCAAGGTCCTACACGTGGGTTGGAGCAGTCCCAGGCACAGCTACAGGTTGGGCAGAGAAAAGATTCAGAGCAGCCCTGTGGAGAAGGACCTGGGGGTGCTGGTCGATGAGTAAATGAGCATGAGCCAGCTTCAATGTGCACTCGCAGCCCAGAAAGCCAACTGTATCCTGGGGCGCCTGAAAAGGAGCGTGATCAGCAGGTCAAAGGAGGTGATCCTACCCCTCTACTCTGCTCTTGTGCGACCTCACTTGGAGTATTGTGTGCAGTTCTGGTGTCCTCAACATAAAAAGGACATGGAACTGTTGGAACAAGTGCAGAGGAGGGCCACAAGGATGGTCAGGGGACTGGAGCACCTCCCATATGAAGACAGGCTGAGGAAGTTGGGTCTGTTCAGGCTGGAGAAGAGAAGGCTGTGTGGAGACCTCATAGCAGGCTTCCAGTATCTGAAGGGGGCCTATAGGGATGCTGGGAAGGGACTCCTCATTAGGGACTGTAATAATAAGACAAGGGGTAACAGTTAAAACTTAAACAGGGGAAGTTTAGGTTGGATGTAAGAAGGAAATTCTTTCCTGTTAGGGTGGTGAGGCACTGGAATGGGTTGCCCATGGAGGTTGTGAATGCTTAATCCCTGGCAGTGTTCAAGACCAGGTTGGACAAAGCCTTGGGTGATACAGTTTACTGTGAGGTGTCCCTGCCCATGGCAGGGGGTTGCAGCTAGATGATCTTAAGGTCCTTTCCAACTCTAACTATTCTATGATTCTATGATTCTGTGACCTGAACTCTAGCATTTTTTTTTTGCTTCATTTAATGCAGTATGTAACTGGCAGCCTTGCTGTTGCCAGGTTCAGTGTTTGTTTGAGCAGCTACGTTGTGGGCTTGGTGTTTGATCAGCAGTTGCCTTAGTGAGTCATCTCAGGAGGTATGTTTGAATGTTTCCAGTTCAGATGAATGAGGAAGGTGTGCCCCTGCTCCCAACTCAAAATCCGGGCTGCTCCCGGGATGGGCTGCTCCCCTAATGAGTTGTGTAGCACCTTGGGAATTCCCAACTCTTCAGTGTATTAAAAAAAACAAATCAAAACAAAGCCACCAAAAAGAAAACCCAAACCCCAAATCAAACAAAAAAAACCAAAAAACCAAAAAACAAACCCAAAACCTACCACCACCCACAGTAAAAAACATTTCCAGCTTTTTCCCATAATTAAATTAAAAGTGTGACGTTTTCCCTGACAAAATATAAGCTTAATTGAAAGTGTTTAACGCTTGTTTGTTATCCCAGTGTTGCTTTTAATGAAGTCGATGGTTAGTAGTGAAAATAATAAATTAGGCTTGACATTGCTATTTTGGGTAGTGATTCAGTGAAGAGGAAGTTGAAATACAAATTACTTGGCAGCTGCTGGGGCTGTGGGGCTGGTGCCTGGATCGTGTGTGAATGGTTCATGGGCATGTGTTGTCTTGCAGCCTATGTGTAGAGGTCCTGACTGGGTAAGGCAGAAAAAGAAGATTGTTTGAATGCTCTTATAGTTTGAAAGCTAATGAGCAGTAATACATGCTGTGGGTGGGCTGATTTGTTAATTAACTTGCTAAAAGCATTTTTCAAGATCTGCTTACAGTGTTTGCTGGGTCCTGCAGGTATGCTGCCTTAGGAGTGTCAGTTGTGCTGGGACTTCATGTTTGTGTGCATTACAGTAGGAAGCCCAAAGAAAGTCATAATTAATTTACCCTGCTAAGATGTGTGTGTTATTGCATGGTCAGGGAGGCCCCAGTGATGCTCTGGAAGTGAACTGAGGTGTTAATTTAGAGCTTGATTTTCATGTCTCCGCAGGATTTTTTTTTTTTATATTTAACTTTTAACCTGAAGCTTAGCATAAACACCGACTGTCTCAACAGCAACTTTACTCTTGTAGCACAATATGGGTTCCTTGCCCATCTTTCTCCTCTAGTGCATGCTCTATTAATAAATGCCAAAATAGGATTTTTCCCTTTCGGACTCGTAATCTTTCTGGAGGCCCCTGATTACATGAGGTTGCAGTTCTGGTGGCAGGATGAGCATTTTTGGTTGGTGTCCACTGCATTGAGGACTCGTGCATACGGGGGGAGGCAACCACTTTGCCAGGAAAGTATTTTGGAATATTCTGTAGGTGAGAGGTCATGGGAGGAGAGACTTGTCTGGGATGACTTTATGTCCAGGTTGTTTCCAAGTAGTGCAAAAAACACCTCACAAATGGTGGTATGTACACCCAAATACATACATGTGCTTTTATCTCCATGTTTGTATAGTGTGATCAGGGCACCCATGTTATTGCCTGCTTGTGTTTAGTGCCCTGTCTTGGATAAGGGAGTTGTTCTTATTTGCAGGGCCTTGGCTGTTCCCTTCTTGACCTGTCTTCGTGTTCAATCCAGTCTTGAAGTCAGAGTGATGAGTTGTAGCATGTTTGTTTAGTTTTTGCCAGTGATTAGATCATGTTAGTGAAAATGAGGTGACTGTGAGTTCAGCTGTGGGCAGAAGGGAAGAAATTTGCTGCATTTGTTCACCTCTTGTAGGGACGTTTGAGGAAGAAGTGAGATTTCTCTTTTGATGAAAACAGCCCGTGAGAGATAAACATTTTAGATTTTCTCCTTTTATTTTTTTTTTTTCCCTAGCTTCTGAGTTATTCAAGATTGTTCTTCCTCATAATTTTTCCAGAATGTATTTGTCCTGAAAATTGTATGTTTGCGTATGTCACAGCTAATTGCTGGAACTCAAAAGAATGGAAATAATTGAAACTAACAGTAGCTTCTCATGGAGCTTTGAGTAGCTGTACATAATCACATTTCCTTCTGGATCTGAAACTCAAATCCTTTAACAGGTAACTCCCATTTCATAAACTGCCGTGGGCTTACAGGAGCTGCTTTGAGCTTTCATGGAGATGATAGGTCAGCTTGGCTGTCTTTGGCCGGATGCGGCAAACTTTGTATGTAGTTTTGCTTCTGTGGCAGGTGATGGTTGTATTAGACTTGAAGGTGCAGTGTGGATCTGAATGGGTGGGAAAATTGCTGTGTGTGAAGTCATAGCAAAATGTAGACTGCTGAACGTTGATAAAGGAGGGGACTTGAGGATTACCCTGAGCTTGAGATGACAAAGACTTGGCAGTGAAGTTGCTGGACTAGAAAGAAGGAGTCTTGGTAAAGATGACAGATGTGGAGCAATGCCCACACTCCAAAAATGAGGAGAAAAGCACCTGACAGAAACAGGCCTGCCTGTAGTATCTTGGAAAGATCTTAAAACAGATACAGAGGAAAGATCTGTTGCAGATGTGAAGTTGAATGGGATAAAAGGAAACATGGTTTTACTGGCAGAATTGTCAGGACTAAAGTCTCTGCTGCGGAGATGGTTTTGAGTACAAGACGTATAACTTATTTAGCTGGGTTGAAGGAAAGCATTTGATAGTGCAAGAATCGTTTCCACAGGCTTGGAAAATCAGGAGTAATGTAGAGTGTCAGGGAGACAAGTGTTTTGGCTAGAAAGCAAGTTGTGTTGAAAGGGTGTCGTGGATGGAGAGAGCTGCTGGTCATGGTCTTTGGTGTCTGCTCTTAGCTCTGGTCCTGGACTTGATACTGTAGTTGGTTTTAGTTGTCTCGCTTGAAGATAAAAATACTTAACTCTGGTTTTGGCTGATGAAGTTGAGTGGGGGTATTACTCAGGTCATTCTACAGGAAGGAGTGAGATACGAGCCTGCAATCACAAGTCAAAAGATCACTTTGGCATAACAAGTTAAGGCCTGCCAGGTGGGAGCTGTAGACAAAGACACGTGCAGCTTGACAGCAGGAAGAGCTGGGGAAGCACGTGATGTTGTTTACGGCTGATAGATGGCGACTTGTAATTTTGCGATATAACAGTTACTCTCGATCCAGTGCCCTTATCTTTGGAGGACATGGTGGACTGAAGCAGTAAAACTGGACTTAGGTTTTTTGATTGTAGGTGCAAAAGGGACTAGGGACAAAAACATTGTTCTGTGCACGTGACTAGGTGACTGCAGGAGAGAAGGAGCTGGTTATAGTGGTTGATGCAAGGGCATTTCTGAGTTATGAAAAAGCTATGGTGATGCTAAGAGTGGGGAGAACACTTTTGAGATTTTCATTATAGATACTGCCATCTCTGGCTGCATTTGCTGGAGATCTGAGCTGGAACTAATGTAGAAGAAAGAGGGTTTGCTTTCCCCTAGTTGATTTACTGAAGCCTGGCTTGAGGGATTAAAAGCCTTTGGCTTGATTTATCCTAGAAATATGACAACACTAGAGAGGGTGTTTTCTGTCTGATAAACATCAGGGTAGAAAAGTTGTTCAAGTTAAAGGACAAGGCTGAAACAGAACCAAAGCCATAAATGATCTACAGCTGCCTTGGCAGTACCCTTGATCTTGAGTGTTCTCTTCTAGCAGATCATTACTTGTTTGATTTTGCTTTTAGTTCCTGTGGCTCTTGGCCAGAAGTACTGAAGGTTTCAAGAAGTACCTTATGGACTGTTAAACGTGGTGTATAATGCAGGAATAAAAAGCTATACAAAGAAGGAAAGTTTCTGCTCTGATGCATGATGAAGTGTAGGTCCTTGTGCCTTTTTCCTCACTTGTGACCTTTTGTTGTGGTTTTATTTATAAAAGCTTTCTGTTCTCTGATTAATTCCAGCTGTGTGTGGGGAATATGGTTCTAGGTACAAAATAATCACTACTGGCAGAGTTAGTAAGTGGCAGATTGGTCGGGAAAAGAGGACTGAGTAAAGAATGTTTCTGCAGAATTTTGCCAATGTGATAGAAAAGAGGAAAAAATTAGGTTGGGTGCCTGAGCAACCAGCTGTGGCTCCAAGTAGTTTTTTCCAAGACTCAGCTTGAAAGTAAAGGTCTCTCCCAACTCTCTAAGACATTTTCCCTTCATTTATTAATCACAAATCAGAAGCCTTCAACACTGTGGTTAAAATATTGAACTGCTTTAGGGGCACAAATGTGATGCTAGTGCTTTTTTTTTATGTTCATGTTTAAAAGTGCCTTCAGGGATTTTAACTTAGTTTTACTTTGCCCTCATAAAGAGTCAAAACTTAAAAAACAGTAAAAGGCTCTTAGGGTTTGATCTTACTCCTGGGATATCAGGAGCTGATACTTCTAGTTTAACTGGTAGTTCAGAGGCTGAAGATAGGAGAGTCTATCTTCAGGCTCTAATGTAGGTCTTGGGAGAGGACCCATGCATATCTAACACTGGTTACATTTAATTTCCAGGTGATGGAATATGAGAACAGGATCAGAGCTTACTCTACGCCAGACAAAATCTTCAGATACTTTGCCACTTTGAAAGTCATAAATGAGCATGGTGAATCGGAGGTTTTTATGACACCGCAGGATTTCGTGAGATCAATAACGCCTAATGAAAAACAACCGGAAAGTAAGTGATGTCTGTGTAGTAATTGGAGGAACTAATACAGCCAGGGGGAATAAACTCTTCAGTCTCTGCTTGCCTGATCTTTAAACTTCCCATCAAACATTTATGTTGTTGAGTATTGTTCTTGTTATGTTCAGAGGTATGGCACAGAAGGTGGGTTGCTGTATGATTAGGGTGCTGCCACCGCCAAAAAAAGTGATGCTCTCAACCCCATGCATTATAGCAATGCGACAGTGTGCAGGGGGATAAACAGATACAACAAATGCAGGAGCAAGGCAGAAAGTTACCAGTGCAGCTGTGAAGGAGCTACTTTTGTCTCTCCATATGGGTCTGCAGCTTGTCCATGCTGGCTTGAACCCAGTTGGCTGGCAGCAGCCAAATAACAGTGATCTTTCAGGTTCAGAAGTGTTGCTCATGGTATGTTTCTTTGGAGCTTCAAATTGGGGATTGCTATGGCTAGGAAGCACCTCCTGAAGCTATCTATTCCACCTCCATGCTCCAAACCCCAAATTAGCCTAATCCCTCCTGTGTTGCCTGAAGTACTATTGCAGCATGGTAGATTTCATTGGTATGAGCCCATGAGGAGTAGATGAGACAACTTTCTCGTATATTCAATAGTAAAGGGTTACCTTCAACTGGAACGCTTCAAGAATTGTTCATAAGCCTACAAAAGGAGGTTGCTTTGGCAAGGAAGACCTTATGAATAGCAATGAAACCCCTAGCAATAAAGGGGTCCAGGCAGCCCCATGTTTGTGGCTGAGCCGTGGCGCTGCTGGTCAGGGTGCAACTGATCTCTGCCAGCTTCAAATTCCCTGTATATTGCAGGGAAGCAGATCAGCTGTGGTACCTGTGGGGGTTTGGCAGGCAGCAGGTGGGAGAGCAGACACTGTTTTCCTGGTCTGGATAGCTGTGTCCTGAGTGGTAAGAGGCAGGTTTTTGTGGGGTGGCTTTAAGGATTTTGCCTGTCTTCTGTTCTGTAGGAGATTTGTGTTTCAGGTAAGATATGGACAATCAGGTTTCCTGGTCTCGCAGTGTATCTCAAAGAATGGAAAGGGGTTTTGTCAAATTAAAACTCCTTTCTGCAGGCATTAATGAAGAACTTCAGCCCTCAAATGTTAACTTCTTGAGCGTGGGGTTTATGTACAAAGTGTGAAACTGTTTTGATATCTTCCATGACAGCTCTTTAATGTACACTTATGCTTAGAAAACAAGGATCTGAAGTGTGTGCAGAAGGGAAGAAAAAACAATCCTGGCATTAGTCTTAGATGCATGTTGGTAAATTGACATTTAGTTTTTCATCAAGTCCTGAAAATGGCTGTAGTTCTCATATGAATACGTGGTTTCTACCTTCAGTGAAGAGGTAGCTTAAGCAATAAACACAAGATCATGTTCACAGATGCTGAAATTGTGTACTACCATCTTACTTATCTAAAGCTCCTTGAACTGGTACTTTGAAAAGCAGTAGCAGTACTTTGAGTGCAAGTCTTCCCATGCAAGTAATGTTGGGGTTTTCTTGTCAGCCAGCTTAAAAATAGAAAACATCCTGTGTTTAATTTCAACACACCTGATTGTCTTTTACTTCTTCTGTATGTGCTTGGTGCATTTTAAGGTGAGCAGAAAATAGGTGGAAGAGTGCTCAGAAAACACCTACTTCGGAGACAAGCAAAGGTGACTAATGGGAAATAATTTGTCAGTGTTAGCCACTAACTTCCCAATGTAACCATTATCCTGGCTAGGCCATCTGCTTAAATGGCTCTGTGAAGCCTGTTGTGGCTTGTTAAGTGACACAAGGCAGACTATAAAGGAAGAAAATTGCCTTAGTGATACTTACAGATGCTCTTGGAAAGTGGAATGAGGTGGAAATTGAACTTCGGCTGCCCATCAGCAGGCAAAGCACGAGAGTGGGCATTTTAGGTCTTCTTGGCTTGAAAGTATGTCTTGAGGACTGTAACTCTCGCAGACTTACTTCTAGATGAAGCTGCTGCTAGGATGGTTCTTTTCTACTAGGTGCTGTATGTCATGCCAATCACAGTAAATGTTTTTTTATTATAACGAACAGTAGAAGAGTAAAATCCTAAATGCTACAGTAAAGTCAAACCATCCGTAACCTTGTTCCTAAAAGTTTTCAAATCTGGTCGTAAAAAAAAAAAAAAAAAAGTTGTCTTGTGTGGTTTGTGTTTTTTTTAACTCGGAGGTTAAAAACAAAGACTGTACCTGCTCACCAGATTATGAACATTACATCCGTCTGGCACTGTTGACTCATAAGGAAATCAGGATTATGGATCAGTAAGGAAATGCTGGGGCTACTTTCTCCTTTAGTCACGACTCGGGTGCGTCCTCTGCCCCGACTGGAACATTCCTCCTTCATCTCAGGGTGTTCCTGCAGATGGTGATGTAGCCCCTTGGAAATCTCCTTCAGGTAGTGACATAGCCTGCTTGGTACGATAACACTTGAACTGAATTGTGGATTACTTTGTGCAGTCCCACTGACTGCAAGGTTTTCAGTGAGTGGTATTTGTTGTTAGGTTTGTCTGGTGAAGCAATTGGCTTCTGGACCTGTGAATTAATATGGTCCTGCATAAGCAGTCTGAGACATGAGGAGGACAGGGGCTGCTCTGTGTGCTCAAGCTGCTGCATGTAATTTCAGCAAGTAACTTTTTGTTAATGTGTCTGCTATCTTACAGAAAGAAAATACTATGGAATATAAATGAAAGGGAGTGATGGGGTATCTGAGTCCCTGTTGTATTTATTTTTAAACTGCTAATCTACTGCAGGGTATCATATGCCTGATTCATTTTTATGGATTACATACGGGAAAGTTGATTTATTGTCAGTAAAAATGTCAGCTTAATTCCACACTGTATTTTGCTGGTTTGGGGAAAATGAATGCCAGTGCATTACCTCCTGTAGATTGCTTTCCCCAGTTCAGTAAAATTTCCTGCCATAGCTTTCCCAAGTATGCAAGCTGTGCTTAAGGTGTGACACATTCTTGCTGAGCTTGGAACTGTCTGTCAGAATAAGACAAACAATGGCATTAAACTTAGAAGCTGCTTTGAAAAAAAAGTCTTTATATGCTGTCTGTAAAGTTCAAGTGCCAACAGAAGTGTGGGTAGTGATATCTGCTCCCTGCAGTCCTGTGTTATATTTTAATTGCCGCCTCCTCTCATACCTGAGAGCGAGCTGTTCTCCAAGGTTGGATGAGCAGGGGTGGTTTCTTCAGTCCATCCCTGCTGGTGTTTGCTTGCCCAAACTCAGCTGAAAATACTATCTTTCGGTCTCTGGTAGGAAGGGTAAGGGTTTGTAAAAACCTAGTTGTGAATGTTTCAGCTCTTTGAAGACGGGTGGACTGCTGAAAAAGATGCATGAAGCCATGACACTTGGCAGGAGAGCTGTAACTGCCTGATAGTGGCAGGTCATTGCTGGCACATCCTCTGTAGGCTTAGGTAATTGTTGGCCTGCATGAACATTTTCAAGTGCTTGGACTTAACTTGGTGGTGGCCTGTGCAGTCCTCCTGTCTTTTCTAGCCTCTGAGTTACCTCCATATCCCCAGCTTTCTCTGGGTCTGTTCTGCACTAATTGTTTTCCTGGGGAAAGTGAGTATTTTGAAGCATCCTGTGCTAAGAAGGAACTGTGGCATACTCAGCCAGTACCAGTAATTAAAAGAAGTAAAAAATGCTTCATATCTTATTGCAGCACACTGTAACGAAGACGGGTTACACCCAAATCGGTCTTGCTCTTTCATGTCCGTGTTAACCTCACTCCTGCCACATGAAAGATGCCTTTCAAGATCCACCATGCACTGCAGCAGTTCAGATATCTGAACTCTTGGAAATGTCCTGGAAGGTGTGTGTGTTTTGGGGGTTGTTGTTGTTGTGTTTTTTTGTGCCTTTAAGAAACCACAGACATGTTGTTGAAGCTCAGCCAGGAGCAGCAGCTGTGCCTCTGTGCACAGGGTGGTGTCAGAGGAGAGGAACTGTGAAGGACAGAGCTGATGTCTGGTGGCTTGCTCAGACCACATAGCTTGATTCTCAGTTTTGAAATGGTTTGGGTTTTATGTCTGGATAAGCAGCTGAGCACAAGCTGTCTCTGGACTGTTTGCAGTGCTTGTGTGATTATTTATTGTTTTGTGTTAAATGTGTAAAATATGGATCTTATCTTTTGCAGAACCAGCTTGTCATGAGCTGTGACATGCACTCACCTGGTCTGGAGGGGAGGGGGAAGATTCCCTAGGCTTGTACAGATCCCTAAAGTTATACAAAGTGTTCAGCTGAAATGCTTAGACCCAGAAGGAAACTAGAGATGCTGAACTTGCCTTTGGTTTGTTGATGGGAACTTCTGTGTTCTCTCCCAAATACATCTGCTGGAGAGGTCTTCAGGAAAAGAATGTGAATGAGAGGGGGAGGTAACTTGATGGCTATCTCCTGAACCAGGAGGGTAAATAGGTATGGTTTTTTTTTTCTGTGAAAATACATCATTCCAAGGCAAGAATCATCTTTGAGCCTGTAATGCCTGACACAAGCCCCCAGGAACCTAGCCAAGGAGGAACGAAAGGTACATTTATGTGCATGCTTATGTGATAGTTATCAGAAGAAACAAATTACTACAGCTTTTAGTGTAGATAACACAACTGATCATCCACACCAACGTGTCATGAAGGCACATCTCATAGAGACTGACTTTCCTGTTGTAGGAGGGGTCAGATGTGAGCAAAGTAGTTCCTTGAATAGAACAGTTCTGGGCTTTAATGCAAACCTGAGAGTGTTACCCCTTGAGAAATCTCAGGCAGCTCATTGTTTGCCTGCAGATTACATTCTAAATTCAGGGGAGAATACTCATAGAAAAATCAGAATGTGGGTTACAGCTTTGGAGGGGAAAACTGGGTCCATCATTTTCTCCTCCCATAACGTAGTATGTTGCATGTTATGGTTACCAGGCTGTTCTTCAGTCTTGGTCATTAGTCCTTTTACTCATCTACTCGCAAGAAAAAGAGTCCATGTTATAT